CAACAGACCATAGATCCGAACAAATAATAGCATATAAGGCATCTTTATAGCTATAACATAAAACATTTAGCACATAAAAGCATTTTAGGCACAATTCCTAAAATAAGATAGTGCTCACACCTCACAATCATCGCTTAGCATTCTAAGTTTAAGTCTAGAAATCCTACAAATTCCTAGTTCACTTAAACTAATGCTCTGATACTAACTGTGACAGCCCTATTTTCACGGCCAGAAAATACCTGTTTATGCTTTGTTTGAAAATCATAGTAACATTTTAAATAAAAGTGTTGCGGAATTTGTCCCAAAACAAAATATGATAAAGATTTATCAAAAGCATTTCCAAGGAAATGTATTTCATTAAAAGACTTGGGATGTCATGTTCGATACAGATCAAAAGCATAAACAATACAATATAAGCCTTACTACATTATTTCGTATCTACGTGCCTATATACGTAATCCCTCATCCAAAACATCACATTTATGCTCATGCGCCACTACTTGTAATACAAGAAACTGAGTGGGTCAGGCTGGGGAGCCTGGTGAGCACATAGGGTTTTCAACCCATAATAAATAAGTTTATTAATTTCATCAATCAACAATAACCCGATTACCCGTTCCCGTTATCCTCACTTTACGTCCCTAAACACCTATCATAAGGGACCTAGCCTAAGGATCATCATCGGGATAGACACTATTGCTAAGGGGATTCCTCAGCAATAAATATCCTTAAGGCAACCATGTAGGGGATGGAGTACACCGGTGAACACATCATTCACAAAACCTACAGGTTTCGAACCTGCTAGTGTTCCCTTGGACTGTCTAGAAGAGTCTGTGGTCGTCATCCATACTCCGCTAGATGACAGAATCAAAAACATCAACATCGAGGCCTCTCATCATTTTATCACACATCACCTATTACATCTACCCATGTTTTACCCCTAACATTTTCGTAGATATAAAATACATATACAGTTTAAATCATTGAAAACATGTATAAAAACGTTCATCCAGCATAGATAGCAAGTATTCAGATAATATGCACACATAGCACGTAATTTATATAAAATACTTCATATCTATGTGTAAGCTGAAAGTAACTATGCACTCACCTGAAAGGTGGTGACTCAGTACTCGGACAGCGGTTCGATACTCTCAAAACAATTTTCCTTCGATAAAACCTAGTATCAATACCACTAGGGTTTAGTCTAACGTCAACCGTAACAAATTAATAGTCTGACTATTATTATTATTATATAAGCGTTAAATAACACTCAATATAACTCATAATAATAGCCCAAATAATTATTTTAAGGACCTAATAACATTCCTATAATTATTTGAAAGCTATATTAAAAATTGTGTAAGCGTAGCTCACTTACAACGGATTTTAAAGAAGATCGGGCATTATTTGGAGCAACGTTTTGAAACCGAAAGATACTTTTTCTCGGGACTCCAGGAGCCTCAGGGCTTCCTTCGGGAGCTAGGGGGGTTTATCTAGGGTTTAGGGGGAGGTTAGGAGCCCTAGAGAGAGAAAGAAACTAGAGAGAGTGAATTTTGGAGTGAAGAATGAGGCTGCCCTCGGCCCCCTTTTATAGCTGCGAGGCCTCGGACGTACGCTGGGCGTAGTCCTCGGCTACGCGGGGCGTAGTCATCGGATAAGGCTGCTACCTCGGACCAGCTGTCTTGCACTCCGGAAGAAGATAAGGGCGAGGGTACGCGGGGCGTACTGAATTCGGACGTTGGGCGTAATGCGAGGACAGGTGTCAAGATCCGAAGCGAGGACCGTGGGGAGCAAGGTACGACTGGGATCGCGCCACGACATCAATCTCGCACCAGGTTTCGCATTTTCGAGTCCCAACTTCAAAAATTCGTATCTTCCATATACGAGCTCCTTTTTTAACATTCTTTATATCCACGCGAAGGCAGGAACATACTCTACAACTTTCGTTTAGACTCTGTCGGCTAATTTTGACTTTATTATTAAATTTATATTATTAACAGGTCGGGACAAGATTGGTCCGTTAAGTTCTCATAACTTCTTCATCCGACGTTCATTTTCGCCCATCTTTTTCTAGTTACGCTACTCTTAACGAGATCTTCAATTCTCGTTCAGGTCGTGTCGGCTAAAACCGCTCGATCTAATATTCGAATTTCGGGTTATACACTGCTAATCCGAAACTTCGAAAAATCATAACTTCTTCATACGAAGTCAGATTTGGGCGCTCTTTTTATGGATTTTTCTCGGTTTAACATATTCTACGACTTTTGTTTAGATCACTAAGGCTGAATCTCGCTCTATCATAAATTCACTATTTACGCTTCCCGGTATCGTGCCGGTTCCGTCGCGAAACTTCAACAGGTCATAACTTCTTCGTTATAACTCGGATTTCGGCGCTCTTTATATGTACGGAAACCTTGTAACATATACTACAACTTGGTTAAGATAAATTATTCTAAATAATCTTTTGCCGAAAATTCGTTTTCGACCCCTATTATCTCTAAATTGACTAGCCCGGATCTACGGGCGTTACAGAAAATAATTAACAATAATAATAAGGGAGAATTTCATATATGCCTTTACTTAACATCTAAATATCGTATATGTCCAACCTAAATTTTAAATATCGTATTTACCCTTCTCAATGTTTTTTAATATCATATATACCCAATTGTATTTTTTTTAATAATTTTTATTGATTTATAATTCTTTTTTATAATCTTAAATCATTATAATCAAAAATACATTTTGAATGGACAATATTGCCCTTGGTGCTTACTACTTCAGATCATGTTGCCTAGTCGATCACACCTTGTTACGATCAACCTGTTGATACTTCCAATCGTTGCTTCTCCTCCTGTGACGCACACGCTCACACATCAGGTAAATAAAATGTGGCTATTCCTAATTTCCCTTTCTTTAATTTCATGTGATATTCTTTGATTTGTTCATGTTAATGTGTTGTTAACGTCAAAGAATTGTACATTCAATTACATCACTAATATAAGCTTGAATTTATAGGAACAAAACCAACCAAAGCTCCATAACATCAAAAGTAAAACATAACAACAATGAATTGAAACTGTTGAAGGGTAATCTATGCAGTAAGTTTCTTGCATTAATTCATTTTGATCCAACAGAAACAAACATTAGAATTGAACTTTCACAAGCAAACCCGAATTATACATCTACTCTCAAGAATAGCCAGTACCAAAACCAAAACATTTTGAAGATGAGAACCAAAATTCCAAATCGATGTACCCTAAATATCCAATCGATTTACCCCAAAAATTCCAAACAATTCACCCCAAAAATCAGAATCGATTAACCCCAAATATCACTTTCAGATGAACAATTTTAAACAAGCAAAATCGATTTACCCCTCAATCAATGCTATAAACGAAGAACATTTGCACCTGAATGAAGAGTGTGTGCGTCGGATGTGTGTAGAAGACGTCAACCAGATCAGAAGGGGGAATAGGAGGCTGCATGTAAGTTTTAAGAGGTTGCGATTGGAAAGAATCCACGTGCGAGTGTGTGCGGCACTGAGGGGAGAAGCAACGATCGGAATTCAGAAGTATCAACAGGAGCATGGTCAATTGTGATGGACTAGGCAACGTGATCTGAGGTAGTAAGCACCACGGGCAATATTGTCCATTCAGAATGTATTTTTAATTATAATGATTTAAGATTATAAAAAAGAATTATAAATTAATAAAAATTATAAAAAAAAAAACACATTTTGGTATATATGATATTAAAAGCATTGAGAAAGGTAAATACGATATTTAAAGTTTAGGTCGGGCATATACGATATTTAGATGTTTAGCAGGGACATATATGAAATTCTGCCTAATAATAATATAGAACAACATAAAGTTCTAAATTACACTACATTACCTTAAAAACAATGGTTAATATTTTATATTATCATCATCATGATCGAAACTAAAAGTGATCAAATAAATAATTTTTAAATTAATTAATTATAATAATAGTTAAAAATAGCACTATTTTTTTAAATATTTACAATTTCATGTCAACTTAGCACAAGAAATATTATTTCATAATTAATATCAATAACAAAATCATTTTCAACATATAATTTTCAAAATCGTAACTATATAATATTAACATGTGCATTGCGTGGGAATCCGGATAGTATATCAATTTAATTTAGTTATTTTTTACCTGTTCAGCAGGTCATCCGTTTATGTGACGTGCCAAGCTGGAAAAGATGTTAATGTGCCATGACGTGGCAACTAATATATAGCATGTCATGTGAGATAAATTTTTAATCTTTAAAAAAAACATATTTTTCAAATAAAAAAGTGATAGAGGGTCTGAACTCACAACCTCGATATGGTAAAATGTGTGTTTAGAAAGATAGATGTCACGAGTTCGAGCCACTTATCCTTCTTTTTTCGCTAAAAATATGGCCATTTTTTAAAGGTTATAAACCGGAGATGATCTGTTAATATATATAATATATATATATATATATATATATATATATATATATATATATATATATATAATTGAAGATAATTGCAGTTTTCTTGGATTTTTCTAATTTTAATAAAATAATAATAATAAGACTTAATCGTTGTTTTTTTTTTTTTTTTTATTTTTTTTTTTTTTTTTTATTTTTAAGATTTCTCTTTTATTGAAAACATTTCCATTTTTATACTATATATGAATGCTATTTTAGAATTTTGTTTTTCATGTATTTGAGGAATGCTCTTTTTATCTACGGAAGCATCAGTGCTCTTGTTGTTAGTGTTGGTTTCTGTTTGTATATATAACTATTTTCGATTCTTATGACAAGGAACAATCCTATCTTTTCCTGAATTTAATAAACCCAACATAGAATAAGGTTAAAAGAGCATCATTTTTTAGTATTCAACAAGATCCATGTTTAATTTCTTTATAAACATTCCAACCCATCTCTCTCTTTCCGCAACAAGAATTAACCCATTCACAGTCATCTCCGATCTCCCATGGAAGCTCTCATCACTCCATTATCATCCCCTCCGCTTTCACTTTACCAGAAACCTTCTTCTTCATTCTCGCCATTAACAACCTCCCCTCTCTTCTTCCCTAAACCCCACAAACATCTCCGTCACAGAATCCAAAACAGCAAGTACGGCAACTTCCTTGATTTGATCCCAGAAAACAAATCCGACCCGATTAAATTCGACCTCAATTGGCTCGATCCATCTCAAAAACCACGACTCGACCTCATCGTAATCGGAGCTGGTCCAGCTGGGCTTTGTTTGGCTGAAAGAGTTTCTCGATATGGGATCCGGGTTTGTTGTGTTGATCCGGACCCACTTTCCATGTGGCCTAACAATTACGGGTCTTGGGTCGATGAGCTATCAAGCTTAGGACTTGAAGATTGTTTTGATAAAACATGGCCCATGTCTTCTGTTCATATCGACGATCATAAAACCAAGTATCTCGATCGGCCTTATGGTAGAATTAACAGAAAGACGTTGAAGATGAAGTTGCTTTCAGGGTGTTTATCAAATGGGGTTAAATTCCATAAAGCGAAAGCGTGGAAAGTTAATCATCAAGAATTTGAATCCTCCATTGTTTGTGATGATGGTAGTGAGTTGAAAGCAAGTTTGATTGTGGACGCAAGTGGTTTTGCAAGTTCTTTTGTGGAATACGATAAGCCAAGAAACCATGGTTACCAAATTGCTCATGGGATTTTAGCAGAAGTTGAAGAACACCCGTTTGATCTAGACAAGATGTTACTCATGGATTGGAGAGATTCCCACTTAGGAAATGAGCCTAATTTACGCGTAAGCAATTCTAGATTCCCCACTTTTTTATATGCGATGCCATTCGATTCGAATCTAGTCTTTCTAGAAGAAACTTCCTTGGTTAGCCGGCCGGTTTTATCTTACAAAGAGGTCAAAGCAAGAATGGTGGCAAGGTTAAGGCATATGGGTATTAGAGTCAAAAGAGTGATCGAGAGTGAAAAATGTCTTATTCCAATGGGTGGGCCACTTCCAAAGATTCCCCAATCAGTGATGGGGATTGGGGGAACGGCTGGACTGGCCCACCCATCTACAGGATATATGGTGGCTAAGACGTTGGCTCTGGCCCCAATTTTGGCTGAGTCCATTGTTGAGTGTCTTGGTTCGACACGGATGATTAGAGGGCAACCGCTTTATCATAGAGTGTGGAATGGGTTGTGGCCTATTGAGAGGAGATTAACAAGGGAGTTTTATACATTTGGAATGGAGACACTTTTGAAACTTGATTTGGAAGGGACAAGAAGCTTTTTTGATGCTTTTTTCGATTTGAATCCGGAATATTGGCATGGGTTTTTGTCATCAAGATTGTCGATTACGGAACTTGCTATGTTAAGTTTGTCATTGTTTGGACACTCATCGAATTCATCGAAATTTGATATTGTTACAAAGTGTCCGGCTCCTTTGGTCAAGATGATGGGCAATGTAGTACTTGATGCCATTTGATTTGGGACCATTGTTAATCAAATGATTATAATAAAATTGCTAGAAAAGTGGGTTTTATGTTTTTAATATAGTATTTTTATCTTTATTGTTTGGAGCCATGAATAGGCTCGAGAACACCTCAAATTGATACCTTTTGGTCTTTCTTGATTTGTATTGTACAAGTTCGTACTCCATAAGTCTAACCTTGATATGTGTTGTACTACATGAAGATGTTTAAATCATTCACCAAAGAAAAAAGAAATAAAAGAATCTTATGAGCCAAAAATTGTAACATAAATCTATTTGCATATAATCCTTTCTAATTACAAAGGATTATAAGTTATCAAACATCTTTTCTTGTAAGTTTGAAGACTTTGAATAGGATAACTGATTAATTTCTTCCACAACATGTATTAAATATTGTGTTTTGACTTCAAAATTACACAACTATCATTAACTTTATCCATTTTTCTTACAACTAATTATCTTATTTTGATTACTGACTTTTGAAATAACAAATTTAAAATCCGAACACTTTCTATTTTAATTTCCAAACTTATTAGTCATCAGATTGAAGTGGAGCAAGTTTGCAACAACTACTCATTAATTCTTTAACCAATCCATCATATCTTTATATGCATATATACACCCCAACTCCATTACCCAATTTCCAAAAAAAACGTTCACTATGGATTCAAGTCATTCAACCAAAGAAACCGGCGATATCCCAATCCCAATCACCGAGCCAAAGTCATCAAAAAAAACCCCTCCGGTGACGGCAGTGTCAAGGTGGAAAAAAGCTTTTGCGGCCAAGAAAACCGCCCACCAGCCGCCAGTGTCAAGGTGGAAAAGAGCTCTTGGCATTCTTGACTTCATTCTAAGGATATGTGCCATTGCCACCACTCTAGCGGCGGCAACCGCCATGGGCACCACCAACCAACAGCTTCCGTTTTTCACCCAGTTCTTCCAGTTCAAAGCCGACTACACTGACCTTCCCGCTTTCACGTAACCTTTTTTATCCAATGCGTAATTCCGTAATTTCATGTCTTGATTCTTCTCTCTTAACAATCATCTTGTGTGATTCACAGGTTTTTCGTGATTGGAAACGCCATGGCTGCTGCCTACTTAGTTCTCTCGTTACCATTCTCTATAGTCTGCATCGTTCGTCCACATATCATAGGAGCCAGGTTGATGCTCCTCGTTTTTGATACGGTATTAATTAAACTGTCTTTTTTTATTATTCAGTTCTAGATAAATCCTCTATATGTTTTAAACTGTTGATAATCATTCGTTTTTTTTTTCTTTGAACGTTTTCAATTTGTCAAAAATGTCAGATAGCGGTGCCTTTGATCACTGCTGCTGCATCTGCGGCTGCTTCCATAGTCTACTTGGCACACAATGGTAACTCGAATGCAAACTGGGTGGCGATTTGTCAGCAATTTGATGATTTCTGTCAGCGAGTCAGCGGAGCTGTGGTGGCGTCTTACATTGGAGCACTGATTCTCGTACTTTTGGTGATTGTTTCTGCGGTGGCTTTAAGGAGGAAGTAAGTGAAGACTTTGGACTACTTACATAGTTACATACGTACTATGATTGTGTTTCTTTATGTCGTGTTCTTGTGATCAAGAATTGAAAGGGTGGTTCTGTAATTTGATGTTTGGTATAGTGTATGAATCTGTTTAATTTAAGTTGTCACCTCTACAAATATTTATTCTTTCGTAAATTGTCATCGTAAATTTACATTAGTGGTGATTGTTTCTATTCATTTAAAGAAGACTTTGAAATTCAACATGATGAATAATTTGATAAACATGTTTAACTATGATCATATAACTACGGTTGGTATTTTTGTAAGACATTGAGTCGTGATTTTTATCAAACATTTAGGACCCAAAAAGCATAAAATCGTAAATAAATGGAAAAAAATATTAAAAAACTATCTGAATTATCCCAATAGTATATTATTTATAAAAATATACGATATGTAAAACTTTAAAAAATTGACAATGTTATTATATAATATTAAGTCAGTATAATACCGACTCATCTTTTAATTAAGTCACTTCAGTTTTTCAATTATCTCTCACATCAGTAATTAAAAACACTTTCAAAAGTGGTCTGAGAGCTCATTAATTCATTTATATATTATTAATTATTTAAAAAACTAAAAATACTAATATATATATATATATATGTTTATATTCAAATCAATTATTGTGTTATTGTATGTATAAATATGGACCAATCATTTTACTTATTTTAAGAAAGTGATTAATACATATTATTGAATTAAATATAATCAAAAAATACAATCTAATTTAACTAGAATGGTATTTTAGTCAATTAATATAGATTTAATAAAGGAAAATTGTAAATTTTAAGGGTTCAAAGATTCTATTAATTTTAAAAATATGATTTTACGAATTATAAGGTTTTTAATTCGAACATTCTGACAGAATATGTTTGAGTATGTTCAAAAAAAAATATTCTAGAACCATAAAATAATAAAAATATTCTTGAACATATTTCTTGTAGAATAATAAATTTCGAACCAACAATTGAAGAATTAAAACAAAACTTACACTAATTCTTATAGAATACAAGTAACAATTGCTAAGAATTACATTTAATGTTAAAGAATAAAACTAAAAAACTTTCAAATTGAAAAAAAAAACATCAAAATCTAACAAATGCACTAATTCATTCTAAAAGAATAATGTTACTAAGAGGCGCCGTTCAAATTTCGTGGTCCGTTCTTCAAGCATCAGTTTTTGTGGAAACAAATCCAATGAATAAATTAGTGAGAAAATATTCATATTCCATTACAACATAATTGGAATTCGTGATTCCATTATGATAGAATTGGAATTCATTTTACCAATTATTATATTAATTCGGGGCATTCTAACATAATATGTTCATAATTATCATAAAAAAACACTCTTTTTTGATAGAATACTATAACAAAGAAATACTATTCAGTTGAAGCATTTTAGCGAGTGCTTGGTGTGCATCAAAACAACTTTCAATTTCCTATAAAAATCAGACAATCCGAACAAATTCCCAATTCACCAAGAATATTACACCTTGAAAGAATTAGACAATAAACCTAAACACATCCAAAATTTCTTTCATTTCTGTCAAATAATCAACCCAAACATCAATTCTATATATTGAAATCAAATCAATTTAAACTTCATTGGTTTATAGTAAATCGGTCAAAATAAGAAGCAAAAGGAAGAAACTTGTTTGGCGAGTTTAGGGGAATCTTTCCCAAAAAAAACCTGGTCCGCCATCAGAGGAGAAGACCGACGATCAGAGTGAGGATGAGGGTAGGTCAGAACTATGTGATGGGTTTTATACAAACAATCCTATGTGTGCATGCAACCCTAATTTGGATCTATGTTTTCACTATTAGATACACAACATTATGATCACATGGATAAAACCCTAATGTAGCATGCTATTTTCAAAATTCATATATAAGGTTAGATCACATACCTCTTGTTGTTATATTGCAATAACAACTTAAATCTTCAAACCCTTAGTCTTGAAAGCAAGCACCACAAGTGTGGTGCCTCTAATGGCTCACAAACACCACAAGCAATTGGAGAGGCTATAGAGAGAGAAGGGAGGAGGTAGAAATCGTCCTTAGATGCTCCAGGGATCAAGTGGACGAAATCCTAAGGCCTTAGGGGTCTTTATATAGGGTTGGGATTAGGGTTTCAGTCCTTATCCTTATCCAGTTACTTGTCCACCAAGCAACCACAAGATAAGCCTTGAAAACCCTTATCTCTTGGACCTTGGACGATTTTAAGGATATCCTTATCCTTGAATTCATCGATCCTTTAACAAGGATAACCATTGCCCTATTTTGCAACTATCACATAATTACAATTCAGCCCCTCTAGTTTAATTAATTACACTTGATCACAAAATTAATTCCTAATTAATTATTGACCAATATTAATTAAACAAATATGATTTCTCCTTTAATATATTATTCTTATAACATATTAATAAATCGTAATAGGCTCTTTCTCTATTTATTTCTCCAGTCAATTTGCTTTGGTGAAGGCAACCCAAAAGGACCATGCACAACCAGGTCAAGTACTTCCCTAATATAGTTGCAGCCTTAAACACTATTCCAACAGTCTCCCACTTGGATAAGTCTAGTAACTATATGCACAAGCACAATCCGGTTTGCAATCGTAGCTCTCAAAGACACTGTTAAACTCTGATCTAATCAATCTTGTCCTTTAGATAAGGGATCGTACAGTCCTCTGTATAGATATCATGCTGACATTTATATGGAACCAATTGTCTAGCATTTTGGTTTCTCGATCTCAAATTTATTTGACATAGAACTTAATCGAACACATCAATTTAGTTCTGACCGGGCCCGGCACATAAGTCAAATCAAATCATCGAGCGGCCGAGATATCGCTTTTTCCTTCTTAGGATAAAAGTAACAGATAAACTTTGACTTATACGCATTTACTTATTCATTAATCAACTATACACAACAATGTGTTTTATAACACCGAGTTACTGATGCGTTTTCGCTTTATCAATGTACAATCAATTAACAAATAACAAACCATATATCTAGGTTTTAAGACTATATGATATTATCGTCTTGCGATCACCTTTTATATCATATTCCATAAGGTGATTCCAGCAAGCGCGGGTTTGTTCCAATGCTCAAAACAAGTTCATAAGCACTCATGAACGTTGCAGCAATCTTTTGCTATGTCTAATACCATTTAGACAATCTACACTCCAATTCATGACAATCTTCATTCATATCTACTTCCGACATATGAACGATTGTGAACAATTTGAATAATTCGATTATTCTTAATAAACTCAATTATTCTGGAAGTCAAAACATGCAAAGTGAAAGAATAGTTAAACAATTAACATAAGACAGTAACATTACTCATAAATAAAACTCCTTTATTTAATCATCAAATGTTAATTACATTTATCCATTACACGTTTCTACTACTATCTAATCT